GGGTGTCCCCTGCCTTCGCCCTAAGTCGGCTGGGATAGACTCCAGCCCCCCCGCGACCCTAATGAGGATTAAGCGGTGTATCGAAAATGGATGGATGGAAGTTATGAATTTAAAGGTTTATTCCACTCAAAATTAGATGTAGTTTCTATTTTGTCAGTTTTTGTGGACTACAAAAGCTATGTCCCCTTTGGAATAAACAAGTGGAGTCAATGAAAAACAGTTGAAAATACAATCTCCTCTGCTGCAGACACATGCCCCCAACCTCTGGGGCTAAAAATGAAGCTGATGCAAAAGTACCAAAACTGCATTTCCTCAAATGGCCACTTGGGGCTGATTTAAAAAGTAAGTCAGTCTCCATAGACCCCATGTTAAGAACTTTACAGAGTAAATAAACCTGTTTACATCCTGCTACAAAAAAACTGTTTTGGTCTTCATTACTAATTTTCCCATTCATGACAACAGAACAAGGGTGAATATTTATGTAAGTCATGCTTTTGAATTGTTTTCATGCTTCAAGTTTAGAATATTAAGGGCACGAGCTGTTTGAATGACAGGTGGGCGATATCGTAGTGCAGTCCAGAGTAGTTTACTAGACTCCCTTCAACAAGACTCCACCTTTATGCTCATTTTAGGACTACCTTGTCAAGCATTGCCAAGATGGTGACATTTGGAGACACCACACTGAGCTTCAAACTGTTGTTCAGGAAACTATGGGTGATTTCATAGCTCGTCGATATTTATATACAGTTTCAGAGCAAAATTGATGGCGTTCCCCACTTTGAGTAAGGTAGTACTGTGCTAATTAGCAACTGTTAGCACACTGACACAAGGATAAGATGGTGAATCTGCTAAACATCAAGCATGGTCAGTGTGAGCATGCTCACAAACCACCACTGGTCCCATCACATAGGAAAGATGTCACAATCTACTCACTGTGCTTCCGTCGCCCCGCTACGTTTGAGGTCCTCGGCCAGAGTCGTCCAGGCTGTAAGTCAATGAAACTGGAGTTCAGCAACAACGAGACGCCGCATCACAACATCATCAGAAAGAAATCTTCTCAAGCTGGCTTTTTCTTTTTTTACTCACATTCGTTTTCCACGTCGAAATCGGAGAGAGAGTTGGCATCAGGAAGCACGACGCAATACAACTGAATGTTCAGATACAAGGATGATATCAGTTCAAACGGGATTTTTGGTCCAGCAGGACACAGAACAACAGATCAGCAAATGAATCCTCAAAGTGCTGCAAAGAGAGCAGTGTCTGCCAGTGCTACACTTATTCTATTTGGTACATAAACTCCAACAATAAACTGAGGCTACAAGGCATCAGTGGTTTAAATTGGTCAGATATGATTCAGCCTTGGAAAGTGAAACCATGTGGTTCTGTGACAAATATGTACAAAACAAACAAAAAAACTTGAACTGTAGCTTCTTCTTTTTTTACCTCAAAAAAGGAAGAATTTAAAAGTTTTGAAAATCCTTTTTTTTTGTTGTAAATTTATTTTTTGACTTGTAAATGTACTGCTTTACACACTTAAAGAGTTTATTTGTTTGATTTTTTTTAACCCCACCTCTGTAATGTACAGCTTTTACCTGCTCCAGCAGTAACACGTATTGTAATTTAGTCCATAGATGGTTGTAAATGATTACCTGGTCATCGTCTTCGTCATCGAGCCGCACACCTGGCAGCTTCACAGGCGGCAGAAAAGGCGGCGCCTTACGGTCATCTTTAGGTGGTTGTTCGACCGCCTTCTGAGAAAAGTTGCGACAATCCGGTTTTATTATGTGAATGTAAGTCCATGTGAGCAGCGTTTGTATCTGTTACCTTAAAGGGCTTGATTCTGATCACAGAGGAATGCTGCCTTATTTACATTCTTTGAATGCCTTGTCTGAGCTCTGCATGGTCCCCTCACTTCTGATTTCACATCAGTTTTATCTCCCTAGGACACATTCACAGGTCGTCATGATATCTTGTGAAACTCTGTGAGGAATTTTCTCCTTCGCAGCAAGTCTGGATGGCTTCCCTGATCCACTTCTACAGTAACTACGTTTTGTTTTTTCCAAATCAAAGTGCAGAAACTTTGCTTTAGATTCATCCCATCATGTGATTAAGACTTTCAGTGCTTTTACCACCTACACATTCGGCCAAGACATTAATCTCAAAAGATATCAGAAATCCAACATTTAGCGGCTTCTGTCGCTACAGTTTGTTTGTATCTGACTCACTAGCCAGCTGGTTAGACACACGCCACATGGACACCCGGTGGAGTTTACTGGGGTTTTTGTAGTCAAATTAATTTTAGATTTCCCCAAATTGTGAAACTCCCAAAGTCCCCTTGGTCACGACTGCTAATAGGAACTGAGGTCAATGCTGAGCACTTTGATAACATGTGGTGGGAAATGCCTCCTGAACTTCGACTTGTTTTGAGATTTAAGTCGGTTTTGAAAGAAAAGAAGTTGGAAATAGAACAGTTGTACCTTTACTATTTCAATGCTGTCTTTGCCAGTTTCACTTCCTCCTGGTCTCTTTTTAACAGTCACCTTCTTTGGTGGCACCGGTGGTGGGGCTGGGCGACCCGAACTGCTCTGAGTCTACATCAGAAACAAAACACTGAGTCATCGCGCAGAACTTTGAACTCGAATTTAAGACTCACACTCTGACACATGAAAGAGTTTTCAAGCTTTTACACACAAACCTCTCGAGACTCCGTCGGCGACTGAGGAGGGGAGCTACAATTCGCCGGCGTGTCGTCCTCCGTTTTAACCGGAAGGTAAAACTGTCTCCTCGGCTGGGGAACCGGAGGCTTTGGCTGCGGAGAAGAAAACAGCTCAACCACTTACATGCATCCAAACACTAGAGATGGATGGAATACCTCATGGCACATGCTGTAATATATTACAAAAACATTACCCATTTGCAGGACTTGATCGGGAAGGGGCTGCTTATTTGGTCATTCATCTATGTTTTAAACATGTTGTGAACCCTTTACCCACCACGTCATAACAGTACATGGTTCTAACTGGAATCAAATCCTGCGCTTTGGTCGTCCCTACAGAAGAATGTGTCTCATTAAGAAAACATTTCAAAGCTACTGGTTTGTAGATTCTTAACAGTTCATTGTTGTGTTGGGAGCAAATCATAAATATGATCAAGACGAAACATCCATCCATNTTCTTTTATATTTTATGGCAGCTGGAGACCAGCATCACATTGCAACACCACCACCTACCATATCGGAGTGTCAAACAAATATATTAAAGGTGTTGGACTATTTACAATATTATAATGCGTATCAGTAATGTCAAATCTTTATTTCATTTTTAAACCCCTGATTCACATTTAGTGAAACTGGTCACCTTGTTTGCGATGGCTGCCGACGCACCAGTGACGCCGCCGGCTGCAGCCACTCCGACCCCGACGGCGGTCAGCGCCAGTGAGGCTCCCAGTGTGAACGGAGACAGAATGACACCGGCAGCTGCTGCCACACCTCCTGCTACTGTTGTAGCTCCTCCTGTGATGCCCGCAATCTTTGTCCCCTTTGAAACCTTAAATTATAAACAAATCCAATGATTATAAAACTCTCCAACTAATCCGGACTAAAAGGATTTTTACTGAAAGTTAAAGTAGTAGTTATGAGAACCTCAACCTTTACAGACAGCATTTTCATTCACAGTTATTATTCATTAAAAAGATAAAATTGAGCATCATCTTGTAATTGCATGACCTTTTTTATTTTTACATGTGGTCTTATTACCTTGTCTAAGTTGTCAGCGATGCAGCGCAGCTCGTAAATGTGATGTTTCAGGGTGCCGCCGCAATCAGACATCTTTTGGATGTAAACCTGGATTGCTTTAGAGAGCTGTAGAGCTTTAACTTTGATGATCCTGGAATGTATCAGAAGACCATTTGATCACATCTGTAAAATCGTCTTTATTTAGGTGAATCAGGGATCCAGACATTTATGTGTCAGTGGATCACAAAGACACATCAGGCTGAACTTAAATGTGGATTTTAAAACAGCCTTTCAGGTTCAAACCGCCAAAAGTTCGGAAAAAGCAACACAGTTAACTAACAAATAAACACTTACTGAAGATCAGAGGTCTTTTAATGTCCATCTGTTGATCCTCCACTGAGCCCAGCCTAACTAACTAACTAACTAACTAACCAACTAACTAACTTCTCTTCTAGTGTCACCATGTGTGTGACTATGAAGCAGCATAGACACAAAAACTCCCCAGAAATAAAGCCAACAGATCTCAATCACCCCCCAATGGGAATACAAGTCATAAACCTCACCACCTTTTTCTGATTTTATGCTATAAAAAGGAAGTGTGTCATTATGACTGACGGCTGAGCTGTCACGACTGTGGAAGCAGTTTTTGAATTCGCTGCTGCAACAGGATTCAAATCGATCTAAACTGCAACCTTCTGACCTGCGAGAGGCTGCCGGAAATACACAAGAAGAAGAAGAGAATAGACAACTGGGGTTGACAGCTGCTATGTAAAAAAAAGTAAGGGACATCAAGCAGCAACTTCTGCATTATTATATGTCTGCAGCAGAGGAGGCTGCAGTTTCAGGACTGTAGCTGACTGGACTTCTACGATGACGGCACCAAAAATCTGGATGGTCATTACAGTGCACAACTTAAAGGTTTTTCAAAGCTGAAGTACTACAATCTATTCAAGTACTCATAGTTTTGAATGTTTATTCCACCCAAACAGTACTTTCTAACTCACAAATTATGAATTTAAAGGTTTATTCCACTCAAAATTAGATGTAGTTTCTATTTTGTCAGTTTTTGTGGACTACAAAAGCTATGTCCCCTTTGGAATAAACAATTGGAGTTAATGAAAAACAGGGGTCCTACAGTTGAAAATGCAACCTCCTCTGCTGCAGACACATGCCCCCAACCTCTGGGGCTAAAAATGAAGCTGATGCAAAAGTACCAAAACTGCATTTCCTCAAATGGCCACTTGGGGCTGATTTAAAAAGTAAGTCAGTCTCCATAGACCCCATGTTAAGAACTTTACAGAGTAAATAAACCTGTTTACATCCTGCTACAAAAAAACTGTTTTGGTCTTCATTACTAATTTTCCCATTCATGACAACAGAACAAGGGTGAATATTTATGTAAGTCATGCTTTTGAATTGTTTTCATGCTTCAAGTTTAGAATATTAAGGGCACGAGCTGTTTGAATGACAGGTGGGCGATATCGTCGTGCAGTCCAGAGACGTTTACTCGCCTCCCTTCAACAAGACTCCACCTTTATGCTCATTTTAGGACTACCTTGTCAAGCATTGCCAAGATGGTGACATTTGGAGACACC